AGTTTCCACATTTTAACGGTCTAAGTAATTTCATCTAAAGATATATTATTTTCACACATTTTTTTCATTTTCTTCACTTAGTTCATAATCTAGATTCTGTAATAGATTTTCAGCAGCATCCCTATCCCACCCCTCGGACGTACATAATTTTTTTTATAGAAAGATACTTGTTTTTCTAGAATAGATTCCATAACATCTTTATTCCTTCCGTCTGAACCCTTTTATCTAGTTCATTTTTATGGAACGCCGTAACTGTCTTATAGTGTAAATATTTAATGTGTTTTGTCGCTTTGCCTTTATGTCCTGTCATTTCTTATGTGCCTTTATTTCCTGACACTGCATCTCTGTGTTATGTCAAATTAATTATTTGTTTGATCAAACTATTGTATGAAATGTCATTGCTAATCTTTGTTGTGTGCAATATTATGTTGTACTACTATTTATTCTGTGAAAAATGTAATATATCACGGTATAGCTTATATGCGTTTTGCCGAACAATTGATACTCTCTGTTAACATTCATTACGTCATGTGCAAATGCCTATTACATTGTGTGCAAACATCTATTACATTATGTGCAAACACCTATTATGTTATGTATACACAACTATTCTGTTATTTGCAAACACCTATTATGTTATATGCAAATGCCTACTTCATTATGTGCAAACACATATTACGTTATGTGCAAATGCCTTTTACATTATGTTCAAAAATCTATTACGGTATGTGCAAACACCTATTCGTTATGTGCAAACACCTATTACGTTATGTTGAAACACCTATTACGTTATTGACAAACGCCTAGTACGTTATTTGCAAACACCTATTACGTTCTGGTAAACGCTTTTATGACACAGATTAAAACAAAACGCATCAATGATATTGAAAATTAATAAAAAAAAGTTTGAGCTTTCTTAAAAGCTTTTGACTGCTTCGCTCTTTCCTTATTTAAGGTAATATGTGTGCATGGGGTTGTTGATTAAGTATTGGCAATGTGGTGGCTTTATATATTGATTGATATAAAAATGCTATGAATATTTAGTTTCAGGGAAAATGATGTTGTTTTACTTTAACAGTGTGCGTTATACACCCATGCTTTTAAAACAATTTGTCCACTTTACTTGTTGAAAATTAAAATATTTACAAATAAACAGACACGCCTCTGAAGGTGTGCCTAGATTGCAAAAGTTATAAAATACATATAACGCATTTTTGTAAATAATGTAGAGGATTTTTTTTAGCAAAACAAATCATGCATATTGCAGATTGACCAAGCAAATAAACATGTATTAATGATTGATATTTCAATATTGAACTTAAGTGTGCAATATATGCATAATACAACGATCATGAATTAATGACAGTTGATCGGAAATGATATTTTAGAATGATAACATGTAGACCCAATAGAATATATTTGTATGAAATTTCATATTCTTTCAAATAAGTTCTCTTAGAAATTTTATATTCTTTAGAATAAGTTTTCTCGGATGTACAGCAAACAATTTATCAAACCATTCGCGTTCATTATTTAACATTAAGCTTAGGTTCGAAGCTAACTGATAATACAGTACCCGGCAATACAATTTATTGAATTTATGACTCTCCGTACGGAAAAGTACGCAGATGTTTTTAATTTATACGATGCTATGCGTTGAAATGATGAACCAAAAATAAAATTCATATCAACAATTGTGGAATAATGTATTCATTATATATAAGCGATTTTTTTAACTGTTACTTTTTTAAAAAAAACTGGTGAAAGAATGAAATTGGGTAAACAAAAATATATACTAGCTGACTATGCAGTATGGGTTTTTCGTTGAAGGCCATACGGTGACCTATAGCTATTAATTTCCGTGTCATTTGGTCTCTTTTGGAGAGTTGTCTCATTGGCATTCACACCACATCTTCTTATTCTTATAGTCAACAAAAGAAACGATATGCACAACACTTGTTTAAAAAATAGTAGAAAACAATATGTATTTTTTATCGTTCTTTATGACACGTTCGAACAGATACTGGATAAAAACGAATACATCGAAGTCCTTATCTGGAGTTTCAGTTTTTGGGATTTAATAGCGAGAATGGCCAGTGAAGGTGATACAAAGCTGATAACCCTTTTATTCAGAGAAAATTTGTGTACGTGTAATTTTTGTGGATTACAGATAAGGCAGTTTTCAATATGAAAAAAAATGTTTAGAGAAAATTCTAGGTTTTAAATATATCCTTTTGACTGTCTTGTACATTTCTAAACAAGAATCAAGAATTAGACAAAATCTTTTGAAAATCCCTGTTAACGTTAATTTCTAATAAGTTCCAGATAAGAGGGTCGGGCCATCTGACCCCTCCCGTTCAAGCCACCCACCCATCTCAACACGCCTTCTCAGGGACGGAGGAATCAGTAGGTCTTATTAATGTTATTCAAAATAGTATACACGACTGCTATGGGAAATGAACGACAATAAAATCTAAATATTTTTGAAGGAACCTTAGCTGCTACATAAATCGTTGGAGACGTCATTGCACTGGTAGCATTAAACTGGTACACGTTTCTCGCTAGAAAAGCCTACTGGGAGGGTAAAAGCAATAATTTGAAGCATTTCTAGATCATTCTGACACCCGTTATTTTTCTAGTTCGAGGATGCAGTCGGGAGAAACAATTGGAACTTTGAACAAGCTGCCAGTAACTGCAAGTACTCTCAGATGTGTTTTTGTCGTTAGGATGTATAAATACCCGACCACTTCCAATCTGTGTTTTTGTTAGATGTATTTCTATGTGTGTCCAACTAATGTGTTAAGCCAACTTATTTTTATAGTTTGTTCTTATGCTGTACTGTTACACCACAGTCCCAGGTTAAGGGGAGGGTTCAGTTCCCATTAATATGTTTAACCTCTCCACATTCTGTATGTACCTGTCCAAAGTCAGGAGCCTGTAATTCCGTGGTAGTCGTTTTTTTTAGTTGATTTCGTTTGCACATAAATTAGACCGTTAGGTTTCTCGTTTGAATAGTTTTACATTTGACATTTCGGGGCCTTTTATAGCTGACTATGCGGTATGGACTGTGCTCATTACTTAAGGCCGTACGGTGACATATCGGTTTCAATTTCTGTGTCATGTGGTCTCTTGTGGAGAGCTGTCACATTGGCATTCGTACTACATCTTCTTTTCTATATTGTATTAATATGTTACTTTCGGCTGCACTTCTTGGAAACTACCGCAAAACATTAATATAAAGTATAGACATCCAAAATTAAAAGTAGAGTTTACCGAGAAACCTCTCAAAAAGGGGACCTTCATTCTACTGTTTTATGAAGATATGCATTCATTTTATAATCATTTCACGGACGACACAGTATGACGAAATTTCTAAACAATATCAGAAACTCAAGAGATAACTATCCATATCAATAGGAACTATTGCCTGTATTTAATTGTTTTTGTTTTGCTTTGTTTTCTTTTTCATTTGAATCTTTTTTGGTTGTTTTTTATGTTTTTTTTTTTGTTTTTATATTCTAAAGGAACACAGTCGACCTGTCCGTTATATAGATATAGGAAGATGTGGTATGCGTGCCAATGAGACAACTCTCCATCCAAGTCACAATTCATAAAAGTAAATCATTACAGGTCAATGTACGGTCTTCAACACAGAGCATTGGCACACACCGAACAGCAAGCTATAAAGGGCCCCCGAAAAATACTAGTGTAAAACCATTCAAACGGGAAAACCAACGGTCTAATCTATATAAAAAAAACGAGAAACGTGAACACTTATGAACGAACGACAACTACTGAAAATCAGATTCCTGACTTAGGACAGGTGCAAACAATTGCAGCAGGATTAAACGTTTAAATGGTAACAAACCTTCTCCCTTATCTGAAATTTCGAAACAATATCAGGAACTCAAGAAATAACTATCATTTCAATAGGAACTATCGCCATATTTGTTTTGTTTTTTTTGTTTTTTTTGTTTGTTTTGTTTTGAATTTGTTTTTGTTGTTTTTGGACGTTTTTTCATATAATTACTTGCCAAATTGTCCGAGGGGATGGGGAGGGGAGGGCATCGGGCTGGTGGAGCAGGCTCTTCATATATGAAGGTATATAAATATGTCCCGCTAGAATGAGTCACTTTTTATACGTCAAATATAACAATGGGTTGTGATTTCACCATGGTTATAGGTCAATGAGTTAGTATTTTTCATCTTTCGAGGAAAGTTTTGTAAATAAAGGCAACAGTAGTATACCGCTTTTCGAAATTCATAAATCGATTGAGAAAAAAACAAATCCGGGTTACAAACTAAAACTCAGGGAAACACATCAAATATAAGAGGAGAACTACGACACAACAGAAACACAACATTAAAATGTAACACACACGGAAACGAACTATAATATAACAATGGCCATTTTGTAAAAATCTTGATTCATCGATTAAAATCAAATTAAAATATAAAAATGAATATGTGATTTGTGAGAAATATATGAATGAGTACTGATTATTCCATAAAAGACTTCAATATATGAATGGGGTGGTTTTGAAATCCAGACTGAATATCTATACACAAAAACTCATGATGAGACCTCCCCCCCTCCCCTTGTGAAAAGGTTAAACAGTAATATTAAACGATATTGAGGAATGAAGCTCAGATAACATGCATATACACGTATAAATATAAGGCGCAGTCAAAATATTTTTATATATAATATGCCGCCTTCAAAACCATATGTAATAAGTTAAGTACTAAGTATGTGTGCAAACTATGGCGACCTATTTAATGACCCGAATGGCGAACGTGAAAGAGAGCATGAATTTATTTTCTGTTTACTTTCTCCGTAAAGAAATGCGGTTGGAATTTGATTTCATCTTATTACAGTCTTTTGATTTCCTTAACTTTCGATATTCTGTAAATATATACATCATTGATGTTCACTTATTTCACTACAAATTGAATTATTGCAATAAACTTCTGAAATAAAAAAACAAAAACAATATTACCTCTCACTGTTCCTATGCTTCTTTGAGTAACTCCTCTCCATCGATATTCTGGCGTGGTAACCGATTGTTTTATCCTGACGTCATCTCCAATTTCTATTGTACTGCCTGAAATATAATTGTAGTAATTTCTTGTCACCAATTCTTATGTGCGAAGGAAATTAACTTGAATCAATAAAAAAAAGCTTACTGGCTAAGCTTTTCAGGATACTTTTCATTTACTAGTGGTAATGTTTTGCTATTTAGGGAAATTTTATAAATCGCTTTCATTTTGTGTCTGATAATTTAACTATAGTACTTAGGACTGTACTAAAAGGTCAAAATAATAGATCTTCGATTTAAAAAGACGAATTTTCATCTTGTCAAATTTTTAAGGATACCTTTACATTTATATATACAATATCAATACTGTGATCCTTATGTTTGTTAACAGAAAAAAGGGGTAAAATGTTACTTGGTTTACTTACGTTGATGGTGATTTTCTTATTTGCAACGAAATGTGTTTTGAAATTTTCATTGTAGAAATGGACTATATAAATTGTTATCATGTCAAGTATGTCTATACTTAACACAGATAAATTCTGCACATTTTATTACATGGCAAGTAATATAGAAAAGTACATGTAGGGGAAAACAATAGTCGAATTGTTTCTGCTATTCTTATTTTGAAACCAATGAATGAATAATTCTGAACATGAGAATGGATACACACAAAAACCATTAAAAAAGTACGAATGAGAAGCTAAAATTTCAATTAAGGTGGGAAAGTAAAGATTTATTTCCGGATCAGTTGCTTTATGTTTGATAACTTTTACGAGCAGCAACCCTCTATCAAGGAAATCATGATAGGAAAAACAAGGCCGGGAATATCGTAATTGGGAAATATATACTCCGTACCCAGGCGCTGCTGGAAAGTTGCTACATAGAAATGGAAAATTCACAATTGGGAAGCTGAAATCATCTCTTTTGTCGTTAAGTTTTGTTTTCAACCGACCCTCATTGTCAACTTCTAGATGTAAGTCAAGATATAAGGCAGACTTAACTGTATCTGTAGTATCCTTTATCTTTAGTTCGATGGGATAGATTCGTTCACCATAGTCACTAAATGTTTAATTATTTAGTGAGAGAACATCATTTATATAGCGGAAAGTAAAGTTAAGATATATTGCTAACGTCTGATCTTTCTTCTTAAGAAGTCAGCCTCATAGTTATAAAGAAACAAGTCGGCAAGAAGAGGGGCACAATTGGTTCCCATTGGAATCCCGAATTGCGTCAGTCTGTTGAAAAACACGTCCTCCAAACGTAACAAATGTTAGATATTAATATGTTACTGAACAAAAACTATGACCTGTCAAATAGAAAACAAAATGATTAAAAAAAATGTCGACAACTACAGTATACGTGGACATATTGGGTAAGGTAGAAACTATGACGTCAGTATAGGCAACTTGCGTACATTTTTTGTTTAACACATTTCTGTAAACTACCCACCGTTATCCAATGTTATTACTAGTTATTTGTGAAGCATATATCATTATCTTACCAGCTTCACCAATCCTAGTAAATGGATGTCTGTGTTTCTTATTTCTTAAACAGTTCTCACAAAAACCCCGGATCTTGTATGCTCTACACTTGTATATGTTGCCAATAAAAGGGAATCGATCTATTTCATCACATCTAAAATCGAAACATGTCATTGTAAATTAACTGAGTCTATTATTTACATAGCTATATGTAACATGTGTTAGCATATCAATGAAAATTGACTACGCTCACTGGTTGATACAAATATGAGTTTTTGTTTTGAATTTCAAAGAACTAGTAATCTACGCGGACACTAGTAGCACCAAAACGGACAATTTGGTCTGGGTGAGTCTTACATGTAGTAAACGACTCAATTTACCGCAAGAGAAAAACGTTGAGACTTTTTCAGACGCTGTACCGATCGGTATTAATCAGTCCGTTTACTCATTTCGATATAAGCAAGACAGGTTACTCTAGCGTACGATTAAGACTTGATGAGATCACGTTCGACGTTTAAATATTCGTGTGCAAACTGTTGACCTGTTCGTCTGTGTTTATCTCGGTAGCTCTCCCTTTATGTTATTTTTGGGAAAAGTGTGAAATCGTACAAAGTTTGTTACATAGAATAACAAAGTACACCAATAGTCATATTTATATAATCAAGTTATGCATATTTTACTGTGGGTGTACTGGATGAATAGCCCATATCTTTTGTTTTTTTATTATGCTACTGTTTAAAAAATTTATTGGTGAATTTAAAGAATGCCCCTATTTAACAAATTTAATCTTTCTCTTTCGCTTTCATTTGATATCATCCAGTTTATCACGTAATTTTATTCGCTGAATCGCCAACGACCAAAACCAAGCCGGCGTACTTCTAAAAGCAATTTACAGACAAACAAGATATATCTGTATTAATATATGTACATGGAAAACGATGAATTGGTATGTTATATATAATCCTTTAATATATGAAATTGACGTTAATTTATTATTTATACAATGTATTTTTTTCTACGTAACTCTATATTGCACTTTGCTCAGAGAGATGAGGATTTCTTTTTTTTCAAATCCAATTTTCTTATTCAATTTCAAAGTTGCCTACTAAAACTATTTTTGTATCATTTTCGCTTACACCATAGAAGTTCTTGTTATATATATATCTTGTATGATTTCAATGGTGAAAATAAAAATATAAACCCGAGTTTTGAACGTACATATACGGATTTTAATTAATGATTAGTTACTTTATAGAAAACTCATTTTATTGAATAGTAGTACATACGTGAATTTTACCCTTAGTCTGTATTTTAAAAATTTCAAGTGTTTAGGAGTATCATTTTTATTTTGCAAAAAGACTAAAAATATTTAATAAAAACGTTTTTCGATAGCATACAAGCAAAGAAAACATTTATTTTCCAAAAAAATTTCAATAATTACAGAGGATTTATTGTACGGAAATAAAACTATTATAAATCTTAATTTCAAATATAATTTGATGTATTTTTTCTGCACATGTTAGTCGAACATTTTATTATCGATTCTTTTGCCAGAGCTCTATTTATTTTTATTTGATAAATATAAGGTAAATTGGCGTAATAGAATATTGTAAGAAAATGTTGGAAAAAACATACGGACACATAATTTGTTTTAAGAAGGGGGTCGAAAAAACGCGACTTTTTTCGCAGTTTAATTTAGAATAATTTGTAACACCATAGTAACTATTCAAACATGCAGGTGATTGCTAAATCATAGGAAATATCACGCATTTTCAATGCCAACTTAACATAACCATATTACCACCGTTATACAAGGGCTTACTATACATACAATCGGCTTATTTGTTATATCAGGCAACCATATTTTAATATTTTCTGTTTTCTCACAATAAAAATATCACAAACTTGTCAAAACAGTTACTTAATCTTATTAAATCAATATGGGGTACCAATCATGCTCGAGATATCGACCTTATTCATGAAAGTGAGGCGAAAGATAACAGAGGGGAAGTCAACCTCATAGATCGAAAATAAACTGACAACGCCATGGCTAACAAAGAAAAAGACAAACAGACAAATAATAGTAAAAAAGACATAACATAGAAAACTAAAGACTTAGCCACACGAATCCCACCAAAAACTGGGGGTGATCTCAGGTGCTGCGGAAGAGTAAGCAGATCCTGCTTCACATGTGGCACCCGTCGTGTTGCTCATTTTATTACAAACCGGTAAATAGTCTAATTCGGTAGGTCACTTTTTGAAACGGAAAGGGGATTATAGTTACGATATAAGGAACATATCCGATATCATCTATGAAACGGTTATTCCATAACGGTCAACCAACTCGTGATGGCGTCCGTAATATTTACGAAGGGATGATTTCAAATTCACCATTTGGAACTCTTGATTTAATAGCTTCCTTGTGACCAGCAAGCAACCATCCATCAAGGAAATCATGATAAGAAACACAAGCCCTCGAGGGAATATCGTATCAATTGGGAGATATATATACTCCGTATTCAGGCGCAGCTGGAATGTTGTTACATAGAATTGGAAAGTTCACTATTGGAAAGCTGAAATCCTCTCTTTTGTCGTTAAGTTTTGTTTTCAACCGACCCTCATTGTCAATGTCTAGATGTAAGTCAAGATATGAGACAGACTTAACTGTGTCTGTTGTATCCTTTATCTCTAGCTATAGTTCGGTGAGATAGATGCGTTCATAACCGTTTTTGGATGCCAGCTAAGACGTTCGACTATTGACGCTTTATTTACTCTGAATGGAATTCTTTTACATACTTCTCACGTTAAATAAAATTATACTGTCATTTGATTAGGTCGATGGAAGAATTTGATACAGAAACTTCTCAAATCTCGAGTTATTAGTAAATTTGTATCAATTGTAAATTTATTTTATTCATCTCTGCGTCTATTGGAATAGTAGCAGATGCTTTCGGTAACTATCTTGGTGAAAAACAACAAAACATTTATCTCACTGTCTTTTCTTATTATTCCTAAATGACAGTGTTCAAGATTTGTCTACTGATGTAGACAAATATGTCTTTTCTTTTAATGAACTTCTAAATTATTTGATTCTATGTGTGGACGATACCGATTGATTTGGAAGAACATCATTTATAAATATAAATCAAAATGCAGACATCTTATACGTTCATGTATTTCACATCTCATCGTTTATAGTTATATTCTATGCAAAGCACAAACATGTCGTCATTCATCTCAAAGCTAATAAAACCTACAAACAGACTAATCCAGTGTGGGCTAATGCTCCGTGTTGAAGACCATTCCTTGACCTATAATGGTTTACTTTAACAAAGTGTGACTTGTATGAAGAGTTATCTTATTGACACTCATACCATATCTTCTTATATCTAACTAAGAAGGGATATAGTTAAGATACTGTTTCTTTTTTATTAACATTGATTCACTCATAGAGTCCTTTCGTTCAAAATAAACATGATAAACATGATAAACATATTTGTTCTTAAATAGCAGTTGTTGGCATCATACGGGTAAAGGTTCGATCGTATATTTGTTGGTGGTATGTGACTAAACTCATTAAAAGAGGGATTGTGATTGATTTTCATATGGTGAAGACGTAGCCAGTTTATGTGAGGTCTGGAGCTGGAATGTCAGTTACTGCTAGTAGTCCTGTGTTAATTAATTTATTCATATTCACGAAATGCGCCCAGTGACCTCGTACATTTTTGGTGGTTTCTTGTGTTTATATATATATTGTTTTGTAATATTTTATAAATTTTGAATAATGATTCAAAATGGAAAGTAATTGTACAAAGTAAAATCAAAAAAATACTGAACTCCGAGGAAAATTCAAAAATAAAAGTCCCTAATCAAATGGCAAAATCAAATGATAAAACACATCAAACGAATGGACAACAACTGTCATATTCCTGACTTGGTACAGGCATTTTCAAATGTTATACGTGGCTGTGCGGCAATGCTGTAATTGCAGAAGTCGTCTGTATGTACCTATATATATTAGACCTCTCTTCAAAGAAATTTGTTACATGCACACGTATAAAAATTGCGGTTTTTATCCAACGCAATCATAGGTTTACGTTGTTTTTAATTTAGACTTGTTTATATTTATTTCGTTTGGGCTTGTATTATATTTTTCCTCCGCTTTATATAATCCGTTCATCCTATTTTGACTCTTTAAAATTCTAGAGTTTATCCTAAATTGAGGTAAATTAAATGGCCTTCCAAATACTTTTCGATCCCTAACATCACTGAAGAGACATTAATTGTCGAAATCCGGATATGGTGTAAAAAATTTAGCACCTCATGTTGTGGTTTACCATCTTTGCCGCTAGTTCATTGTTTTCTACTTGATATTAAATTAATATAGAGATCCATTTTGTTACCCCTTGTGATCAATTTTTTTGGCAATCGTCAATAGCAGTCAGCAGGGTTTAAGAACATCAGTTGTTCGACCTGTTAGTCAAATGCGTTTTGTTCAAATATATTTTTTCACTCTTTTGGTCTTTTAGAAAATGTTGTTTGTGTTGTATTTAGACCCCTATTCAACGAAATTTGTTACATGCACACGTATAAAAATTGCGGTTTTTATCCAACGCAATCATAGGTTTGAACGTTGTTTTCAATTTAGACTTGGTTATATTGATATCGTTCGGGCTCGTATTATATTTTCCCTCCGGTTTATATAATCCGTTCATCCTATTTGGACTCTTTAAAATTCAAGAGTATAATTCTATATATCAGTAGTTTTGAAAGTGAAATACCACAAGGATGTTTCTTTGAGCGACCACGGGAGCAGTGCTTAGGTTGGCACAATTAAGAAAAGAGAAAAATGATGTTTGTTCGTTTTCTTCGTATGGCGATCCATTCTAATTGTTCCCTTCTGGATGTAACTCATAGTATAAAGGAAGTTTATTTCCTCCATTGATGTTTTGTTTGTTAATTCAATTGAATGATTGAAAGATGTACAGAGTTTTAGAACATCATTCAGATTGGTGTGTGAATCTGTCCATATCTCTCTACACGCTGCTATTCCTTCGTCTTGTGGAATGTGGGCATATACAGGAGACACGTCCATGGATGGAAGTATAGTATTGTTCTCAAGCACTAGTTTCAGAAGTGTAACAAGGCACTCAGTTGGATGATTTTTGTCACTACTGTTGTTCCATATCTCTCCACACGCTGATATTCCTTCGTCTTGTGAAATGTTGGTATATAAAGAAGACAAGTTCATGGATGCAAGTATAGTATTGTTTAGTTAAGGAGTTATGCTTTCCATTTTCGTATCCTGAATGTAAGAGGGGAGTTCTTTAACACTAGATCTTAAGTGACGGTCTACAAATTTAGATACTAGGATCTGTCAGTTTGGTGTGTATTCACTGAAACAATAGGTAGATTTGGATGGACAATTCTGTGTAATTATCGATATGCGTTTGGTTGTACATCTCTTGTAGGGTGGTGTTGATCCTTTGAGTGGTGTTTTGTGCTGGATCTGTGGTTAATTTCTTATAAAAAATCAATTTTGACATTTGATTATTCCCCTCTTCTTTGTTATCTGTTTTATTCATAACAACCACAACACTCCCTTTGTCGGTTGGTTTAATAACAATATCATCTTGTTCTTTAAACATTTTGAAAGCGATGCTTTCTGACTTGGGTACGTTATAGTTTCTTTTATATGCTAAGCAGGGTTTTTTTTTATCAAACCTCCCCTAGTTAATAAATGACCCCAAGTTTTTGTTTTAACTGTTTTGTGGTTTCCATGAATTTTGGATGGGCGTGACCTCTTTATTGTCCTCATTATCTGAATCAGGCTTCTTCAAGATTTGTATTGTCTCTATTGTAAAAAAAAATCTTTCAAAAATAAACGTCTAGCAAATTGGTCTAAGTACACGTCTACCTTAACGTTATTTACACATATTACATTTGATAGGACAGGAAAAAAATTTAAGCCTTTATTTAAAAGAAAGTCATCAGCACGTATCATTTCTTAAAACGACAAATTCACATAAATACTTTCATGGTATCGTCTTTGAGATTTTCTTTTTTTTAGAGGCTTGATTGTTTGAAGTATTGATATCATTAACATGTTGTAATTTGTGGTCGTTAAAGAGAAAGTAACAGTTGAACGAGCCTGATTGAACAGTGGAACAAAATTTCATTCAAACGACTCATGAACCTATTGGATTTATGTCCCGGTGCCTGAAGACTCACTTTGATCTTAACACTTTTTGTTACAGTTCCTTTTTGAATATAACTTTTTTTTAAATTTGATATATGATGTTCAGTGTGACGCTTTATGTTTGGTTAAAGATCTTAATTTCTTAAAATGCATTGAGCTATCGCTGTTGTAAAGATAGCAATAGAATTGAATGGATTACACACATAAATATGTAATGCGTGCTACTGAAGATTATAGTAAAACAGATTATCCTCACCACCAGTCATTGCCTGCAGAAAACTTAAACACAACCGTCACAAATTAGTGACAGCTGTTTTAAAAAAACAACCTACTCTACCTCCCGGCTGCTACACACAATGTGGGAGAGGAAATTGCTTATGTTATAAAGTTGCCAATACTAGCTGTTCTTTCTTCAGCTCGTTTACAGAACAAAGTTATACCATTTACCCAAAATTCCAACTGTAGAACGGAACTTAATTAATGTATTATCATTTAACACCTTAGGCATTTGATATGTGACAGAAACAATGGACAAATGTAATATTCGGCTAAATAACAATCGATCATGGTACAAAACCAACAAAAACTGACCTTTCAAAAGACATCTTTGCCCCTCTTCATGACATTCACAGCGCACCTTCCTGATAATGTTACTTTCAAAATCATAGAAGTTAAAACCAAATGAAACACCACGGCGATAAAGAGAAAAGAACACTTTTGGATCCTTGCTTTTAAGGGGCACTAGCTACAAGATTTATAAAAATGCAAAATATGATTTTTTTGTTGAATCAATAATGAAGGTGAAATAGTGAATTAATATATCGATTTTAGCCGCCAGTATGGTTCAATTTTGTTAAAATAAGCTAAGAAACATTGATGATGAATTATTCACTTGCAAGTGATTAATTCGACCTCATTGAATCCATATTCATGTTAATTTCAATGTAACCCCTTAGCTAGAGATGGATACCGCATCCATTGTGCGTGTTCAATTATTTAAAGGAAAAGAATGTCAACATTGAAAGTGAAACAAAGATGAATCATTTGAGTGACTGATTGGATCCACAACAAAACATTCTCATACAGGTAAAAACGATGATTAACATATATTTTTAATCTATAATATGAAATTAAACAGACATAGAAAAATCCAAATGTACGTGTCTGATACCTATTTATATCTATATTTATGTTTATATCGTTATTTGGCAATCGGAAGTCTTCGATGGTCATCTCAACAGTTAATTAGATGGCGTCTAGACTAAAATACACACGAAACGAAGCTACATATTATCGAGCCTATGCCCGCTTTATTGTTTATTTTAGACTTTTTAAAATTTGGATAAATGTTTTACATTGTTATAAATCAAATATGAGAATTTGAGTAAAATCGATGAACATGAATTTGACAGCTAGTGCACCTTTAAGAACCTGATGGGCTCAATGAAAAAGACGATAAAAACAGGAAAGATAAAGAATAATTAATTGTACAACATAGTCTTCTTTTTTTTTTTGATCTCTGTAGTATTGGCCAACGGACGTAAAAAACTTCAACCTTTAATGTTGTAATTAAATAAATAATCTTGAACTTGGCAGCACAATTCATGAACAAAGAGCTGCAAACGTTTCTTATTAACATCGGATTTTACCTGGATAAATGCACGCTCGATAAAGCAAATTTGTGTAGCAAAATTTTGCGTTAATTTTTTTTTATCCCATTGTAAATATATTTAACATTTTAATATTAACATACTAAATAGTTTGTTATAATTAAATTGTCTAAGACTTTATATATTCTCCTTCACTGGTGATCCAATGGACGGATCTGTCGGAGAGTTGTCACTTGTTTAGACGTAATTATCAACTATATTTCTGTGACAGCATCTTACAATCCTCTAACAGATAATTTGGTAAACTGCAATCAATTCTATCTTCATTCTAATATATCATGTACTGTGTTACAACTGTAGATTCTACTAGGAAAGGTAACACTAGGTCACCGAAAGCAGAATTTTAGTTCAGTCTAGGTGGCCAAGTGGTCTAAATCGTTGAATACAGTGCAAGCGGTGTTGTCTTGATATCCCGATAGCGTGGGTTGTGCTGATTTTTAGGGTAATTATGAATATAATATGTGTTTTAGCCTTGTATCATCTTCACTGGTGATCCTATGGACTCTAGTCTCTTGTTTAGACTAATTATTTCTGCGACTGCATCATACGATCATTTAAGACAATTAATTAAGCTGATCTGCAATCAATTCAATCTTCATGTCTAATATATCATGTACTGTGTAACAACTCTAGATTCTACTGACAAGGAAAGGTAAGACTAGTCCACCTGAAGCTGATTTATTAGTTCAGTTTAGGTGACCGAGTGGTCTAGAGCGCTAGACATAGTGCAGGCGGGGTTGTCACCATATCCCAATAGCATCGAGAGTTCGAATCCTGGCGAGGGAAAAACAATAGTTTGCTTCCTCAAATTTGTAGAATTAACATTGTTGTGTATTTAGTGTAATCATATATATATATATATGTATACTAATCAACATATTTTGCATTTGAAAACATGTATCATCAACCAGAAGGGTTGAAACGTCTAGTACCATACTGGCACATTTAATAGATCGGAACCATTTCGTAAAAAGTTGAACGGTATGTTTTATAATTTAGTCTGATTTCACCCTAAAGCGTTTTCATTGAACTCCAGATTCTTCTATCGTTCTTATCTTCATATGAATGAACGGTATGAACACTTTTGTTTGGAAGGGCATCTAAAAGTCTAACAAAAACTTAACGTTACGTGTCTTAAAGTAAATTCAGTCGATTATGACTTGATCAGCCCAAAAGGACTGTTTCAGACTAAAAATGTTTTGCCAGTGAGATCTATTATAAACCGTTGTTAACAATTAAAACACATTTTTTGACAATTTTAAATTATCCCTTTTTTATGCTCCTTACAGTGTTAATTAGGAACGGTTCAATTAATCACAAAAAACAATTTAAAAAAAAAACATACGTGAAAGTACGTCGTGGTATTGACATTTCGTCTATGATAAAGTTCAAATCTATATGTTCACGAACGTGTATGTTAACATCATCGTCATCAGGATAGATAGCTGTAGAAAAATAAATAAGATTTTTAAGAAAAATAATCTGCATGTATTTTTCCTCTTTATTTGTGTCAAGTACATTGTAGGATACCCTAAATTTCAGAGAAGATCAGCTTTCTATGATATTACAATTTACTGCTTTCTCCTCAAATATTGGTCAATGAAAATTATTTACAATTCTAAATTTTTATAAAGTTATTTGTAAAAATGTTATGAAATGCAACTCTCTATGCACATAAAGACGTTTATAACAACTCTTTGATTGGTTCATTGGTGACCTGATACAAGGAAATTGTATGTCCTCATCCAACATACCCTAATTTTCCAGTGAAAGTCTAAATATTTTGACTTTCTTTCCTAACGGTCTATATAACAGAAAATGACTATTGTATATTTTGTTTTCCTCCTGAACATACATGAAATGTAGGCCACTGGACGTTAATCAACCAATAATCAATCACCTAAAATTGCCTGTTTTACAAAAGAAACGAAAGTTTTATCTCCTTCATACAAAATAGATCTTTTGCTATTTTTTATGTTCATTTTTGCTCTTTTAGCTATTCAACTTGTTCGGTTCTTATACATCATTGGCTTTAACATATGGATCTTTGAATGTTCCAGATGAAGGTAGAACAATATTTCGGACGCATGAAATGTATATGAAGATGATACACATAAAATAAAATCACCCCAAGTATGATCCTTTACATTATGTTCTCTTAATGCCACATGGACAAGATGGATGGACTATAGGAATAAAAAGTCCAAATGAAACTTAACAAATATCAGCAATGCAGATTTATGCATTCATGCATATCATTTGATGGTTAGGGATAACGTTAACATACGTCTTATGGAGAGGTAGGTTATTGCAACAATATATCGTTGACATGTTTTACAAGATCGAACAGGAAAGATTAAATTATTGCTTTAATATACCATCAACATGAATCGCGAGCTGAATTCTATCAAGGTCTGGGGGATGCTGTTAATTCAGGAGACACAAATGGCGTTACTGTAGGTAAAACAATATCCTGCCATCATAATTTTCATTAGATCACAAACGCCAATAGTTTTTGTCGGGAAGACTATTCTTTTGGGTGTCATATTGAGTGGTGGTATTTCGTCTGTGACACGCTTCAAAACGATTTAAGATCCTAATATCGCCTTACACCAAAATTATATATCTTTATTATGAACCAAAGTATATTTCGAGGGTATTTTATAGTATAATATAGTTTTGTGTAAAGTGTAGAAAAGTCAAATGTTTTGATACTATTGCAAAATGAAAGAGTCTTGGATTGTATGTACTCTAAAAAATCTTTGAAATGTTTTATTATCCACATCTGATTCACGCCATCTCTAGAAAAGGTAGTTTCACAATAACTTTGAAGCCCGGCTTTGATTGTTGAATAAAATGATGTTAAAAATTTAGAAAGAGATATGTGTTATGGAGCATTTGGACAACAAAGCAATCTTGGTTTTAAGGACATTTATGTTGGTTTGGTATCCAATACAGTGATGAAAGATCCACCAGTTCTTCATCGTCTATAAGAATCGACACAGATGATAAAAGGTTAAACATGATCGTCCAAAATATATATTTGAATTCTTTTATTTCTACGTATCATATTATATATAGTGCTTCTTATTTTAAAATTAAAAACTCCTCTTTTGAGAAATACATATCTTTTACTTTTTTTCTCTCTCCTTTTAATAACGTCTGCTTCTTGTTTTATTTTTCAACTTAACATTTAAGTGAAACTTTATGTTTATTTCATTTCGTTTTGTTTCACCAAAACGCGAAAATGAAACATAAGGGTCTGGTTTGGGGTTCCTTCAAACCCGTATTCTTTAAATTGTTAGATAATTTTTTTCTATTGTGTATATTGTTTGTCTTCTATTCTCCATTCTTCATCATGATCATTCTCTATTCTTTTTGTTTGTCGATATTTCTGTATTATTTAAAAAAAAAAGGCTTTTATTTTGCAATTGTTACCCATTATTCTCTATTCTGTTAACCCAATCCACACCATTATACATATGTTTTTTCTCCTTCGTATTTTAAACTTTTGATTTCTTAATAAAAACAACTTTTCAAAAGACTAAACAAGACAAGTTAAGTTTACTATTGTTTAAGTTTGATTGAAAATATAGAGATAACTATAAAAAAAATTAAAACCAATTTTAGAATTTTCATTTTTTATTTATATGGTGAAACTCTCAAAATTAATAAAAATAAATAAGAAAGATTGACATAAATGATTATTTTAAAACTAAGGTAAAAAATCGCAAAAATCAAATTTCAAAACTTTTAGGAATTTGAATTGGTACGCTGTTAGAAGGTCCTAAATATTGTGATAACTAGTGACACTATAGTGATAAAGATTGTATTACAATGTTGACTGCTTTACCCCAATTTTTTATATTTTTACCTTTGATGAATAAAGTCATCATTGGTACCAGGGTTTAAACTGTGTACGCCAGACGCGCGTTTCTTAAAAGAATTTTCACTGGAGTATAGATTTTGCTATTTAATTTTTTATATCGCACTTCATAAATAATAGTGTATTATGTTACATGAATCATGTTAGTTGTAACAAGGTCGAAACATAATATGTCACAAACGGTTTAACGACCATTAAATCCCTTGTCCTTTTGAGTTGCCGGAGATTAACCATGCATTTCATTGCAGAAAAACTGGTCTGAGTCATAAACATATACCTTGAATGTTTTGAAGCAACATTCGTTTTTATTTGGTGTACCCTTTAACATATTTTCGGAACTTGAGGTGACCTTGCTACTCTTACTTGAAAACAGAAAAAACACATGGTTAAGAGGTATTTCGGATACATCCGGGAATTGGAATTTTTTATACATATTTTATGAAATGTTGCGTGAAATACCGTATTACTTGACAGAATAAGAGTGTTTTCATCCCCAGTATTCATTTAAAACAAATACAAATTCTACATAATGCCTATTCTAAATACCAATTTGGTAACGATTTATATGGGATCACAATAGCAGAATTACCCCTGGTTCTATCTTTAAAACAAAGTTACAATCTGAGCAGGAAAATTGATACACGAAAAACAATGATAAATAAGGAACGAGATGCCTAAAATTTATATCAGGTAGGAATGTAATATGGGACTAATTTCCAGTTTTTTACATTTATGTAATAGGTTTGTAAGATAACAAGATAACGGTATTTTTGTTAATTTTAAAAGGAATTCCGGGTTATATAAATTCGAATGTATTGTCACATGATCCTTATTCTGAATCCGATAGTGACAAGACAATATCTGGTAATGGAATGTAAAATATAGAAATAATCATGTTCCTGAACAAAAATTAAGTCCTGTCAAATAGAGAACTAAGTAATTAAAAGACATTTTCACAACCACAATAAAATGGGAAGATTGGGTAAATCAGAATTACTGACAGGCAATTTGCAAACATAAGTTTTTTATATTGTTCAGCACATATTTTTAATTTACCAAATTTTATCCCATGTCAACCTTAGTAATTTTGAAGCATATACAATGGATGAATTTATTTTCGTGAGTATAAACTTTTCATGGATAGAGTAGTACTGTATTTCTGTGGATATTGAATGTCGTGGTTTTGTTATATTAGCCTATTAGAAATGTTTACTGTGTTGAACATCATAATTCGTGGTTTTACCTTTACCTACGAAATCAACGAAAAGTTGTATTTAACGAATAATAATTAATGAGAGGTATCATATATCTTACTTGGTTCTTCAATCTTAGTAAATGGATGTCTGTGTTTTCTAATTCTAAAACAGATCTCACAGAAATTAAATTTCTCGCACAACCAACACTTGTATCTGTTGCCAACCAAAGGGAAAAGATTACATCCATCACAACTAAAATCGAAACATGTACAAATATCAATGAAATTACATAGAAAATGGGAATATTTGGAATTGTCATATGGCGCTAATCCGAGCAGATATATTGAAAGCATTGAAAGCATGCCGTTGACAATTGCAATACATATTGTTGAAAATTTCAAATTTTCCCTGTTAAATACTCTTCACAATGTGATTTAAGAACAGTTCAGTTATAACAAAAGTATACATACCCGACACCAGGGTGAGTACTGAGTACAATTTGTATTTCCTCTAAGATACGAATACAATGCTGATGTTCAGGAAAGTCTATTGCAACAGTATGGTCATCAGAAAAGATGGCTGTTAAAAAATATATAAGATGTTGGCTTAAATCATGTGCATGCATTTTCACCCTTGAATTGTGTCATGTACATTGTAAGAAACATAACAAACTCTTAGTTTAAGAACTTTCTATGAAGATATATACAAAATGCTTCCTTCTATACAATTGGTTAAATATCTGTATGGCTTGATGTGGACTGTTCACAATATTGTCTTATCGGTCCATTGTAAAATGTGTTTATCTTATTCCTTAGATACACGAGTTCTGACATGAGTTTCATGATGAGAGATATTTCAAGAACAAAAAACTACCAGAAACATTTTCATAAAACATTATCAATTTTTTTCTGACAAAAGATAATTCCCTAGCCTTTTTATTCAATAACATGTCTATAAATACATGCCTTTGTCTATGTTATAAAGTATTGTCTGGGCAAACCTGCTTTGTGTTTTATTGTCGACTGTTATGATTAAGATAATTACAACATTCGTTTCATTCCTATTTTAATGGTTTACAATAACATTTTGAAAAAGAAAAAAAAAACGAAAAATACCTGCAACTTTCCCTATGCTCCTTTGAGTAACTTCTCCACATGATAGCGGGGTAACTGATGGTTTTATCCTAACTTTATCTCCAATTGTTATTGTACTGACTGCAATATAAAAAGAGTAATTGTTAGTCCTTATTCTAATAGGCGACGAAAAAGAAAAAATCGAAACAAACTCTAACCAAAAATATCTTATGGATAATCTTTTCAGCATGCTTCTGATATTTTTGTGTGTAAATATTTAGCATGCATTTTTCAATTGGCGAACTAACAAGAGTATTTAGGATTCTACTAAATGGCCAAGCATAATACAACCTTTATTTAAAACATAACTTTCATCAATGTAACTCTCAAATGATATTAACGGCCGCGGTGATCTTCTGGTAGCGTGTTAACCCCGAATGCGGTAGGATGTGGATTTGAAAGCCGGACCGGTCAAACGAAAGACTTCAAAATTGGTAATTGCTACATCTCTGCTAGGAACAAGGCATTAACTAGTAAGATCAAATACTGGTTGGCTCCAGGTAAGGTGATGTGTTTTGTTGCAGATTGTTACTAACCAATTGAGAACTAGCACGTTAAAAATCCGGCTCAGAGTGTCTGTCTTGTACAAAGTAGGGTAAATATTCAAGTTATATAAGCATGTTCTCGTCCTGAATATGCAAATTAATTTACCGCTGAACGTTAATAAGCCATCCATCATCATTTATATGGTATTCATACATTGATGAATGCATTGTCAGTGATGTTTTCAAACCAATCTGAATTGAACAACCACAGTTTTCACAATTTAAAAATACGTTCATTTCAAATGATGTAATGGAAGCAACAGTTGTTGGCAGAGGAGGGACGATACTCTGCTCAAGGGAAGCGTATTGGACATAGATTATTGATCGGTCGCAGTGATAATGTGTCAATAATTACCGCAGTTCAAGCTGTGAGCATAACCTTGACAGTCGAAATTTGTCGATTGAGATTGTAAGAACAAGCAGTAATATACAGTTGTAATGATTATACAATTAACATCCTTGCTTACATAATAACCGATTTCGGTGTTTGTCATTTTTTGCCTGTAATACTAGTATACAAATGTATCTCATGATTTAACTGCTATTTCCTGGGACCAATAATGTGTACGACGTGGACATTAATTGAAAATTCGTTTATCAAAGTCATTTAAGTGAACTGATTTTGAGCTTTTATTCGAGTCAAAACATTAATATAATACAAAATTATACATATTGGACTCTTTCTTCAATTATTAGAGAAAAAAGACGGAAACACTCATTAAAGAACGAACCCGACCAATACACAAAAATACACAATAAAAAAGTAAAAAAATATTTTACATTTATTGTGTCTGAACATTTACATTTGTATCTTGAATATATATTTAAAATAAACAATAAATGGTTTTTTTGGCTAAGATTTAGATATTTACTCAGGGATTTGACAACTTCATTTTGACATTTATTTCGAAAATCATTGTATGTTACCGTCTTATTATGCAGCAACGGATAGAGACTTGGAGAACCACTTGCTTTTGATGTAAAATTAAGGATAGTATCGAAAATGATTATGGGAAAGCAGTCGAAGTATTCTTGTATTATTCATAAATTACTGTACCACTTGTATTGTACTAAAAAATAGATTTTAAATGGGTAATACTTGTTAAACGTATATTTGATGAATGATCATCTATAAGTATTTCCATGTTTAAACTATGTGTTCCTTGTTGCATTAGAACAAATCGATCTTTTTTAAAACATTGCCAAACGGAATCTGAATTCGAACCACGTAACTCGAACATTTATGTACATGGCACCTGAGTGTCGTCCCTTTTCTAACTACCCACCCAAGCGGCGGCTTAGATCAGATGGCGGTATTTAGAAATTTTAATTATCTGTTAAAGTATATTCAATCTTAGGATTTTTCCTCTTAAGCTTACTATCGTATTAAAACATTTTCTATTTCGATAAAATAACATTTTAAATCATATAAAGTAGGTTATTTTATGATGGCCATAAGTACATGTAGTTGTAGAAAATGTGTTACAGCTTTACACAGCCACTAGCATGTTTGTTTGTCGCATCGGTTTCGGAAGTTCACGCATTTGACTAAACTTATTAAGTAATATTTTCACTCAATCGGAAAGGGTATATGGATTGTCTTCCGGAAAATAAAGAATAATTTACTTTGTCTATATGCTATTTCGTGCTTCCTTTCTTGAACAGTTTCTTGTTTTTATAATTAATATAATTTTATTACGATGTTAGCTCATGTACCCGAATTGTTTACGTTTTTACCTATTATGTGTGTTTGTTTTGGTCATACATTGCTGTCAGAATAATGGAATTCTAAAACAATTGAGAAATTATGCTTATTAAATAACCAGGTTGAATTGGGAATATGACAGTTTCCTATTCATTAGAAAAGTAAAAAGTTAAATCACAAAATTTCAAAATTCGAAAAGAAAAGTCCCTAATCAAATGGCAAAATCAAAAGCTCAAACACATCAAACGAATGGATAACAACTGTCATATACCTGACTTGGTACAGGCATTTTCTTATGTAGAAAATGGTAGATTGAACCTTGTTTTATAGCTAGATAAACCTCTCACTTATATATATTACAGTCGCATCAAAGTCCATTTTATTGACAACGATGCGTGATCAAAACAAACAGACACAATAGATAAAAAAAAAATTGAAAACATCACGTTAAATAATTGTATGCGTCCGAAGCGCTTTTCTGGATCTACCTTCATCAGGAACGCTCAAAGTAAAATGTCAAAAATAGGGGTACAGCAGTCAACATTGTGTTATCATCTTAATCACTATAAAAACAAACAAATGTAACAAAGAAGCACAAACAGGCATACATCAACTTTAGTAACTTCATTTTGCTTTTTTTTTTATTTTATAAGATTTTATTTATCTATGTAAGATCCACCAATAAAGGATTGAAAGATTGTACTGGGACCGAATCCTTACCCTGAAAGACACATAGTTTGAGCTATTGAATTTTCTATTCTTTATAGGACTTTCTCTTGGAGTCCTGTATTTTTATCAGTTTCCTTTTTCCAATTCAGTTGATCGAAAGCATGGTTTGTTTGGTAGGCAAATCATGAATAATCTTATATTTTAAAGCCAGTTTCAATTATTTTACCTATGTTCAAATGGTCATTGAAGTTTCAATTAAGAACATCACGATTAACCATTACTGCTACGGGTTCAAGCTTATGATTGAACTTATTTGACCTTTATGTTTCTTCACATTATCAAATAAAGGCTATTGAATTAAAAAAAGAAATTCGATAAAGATTCTGATAGCTAGCACAAGGAAACGTGCCGATAATACAACTCAGAAAAAATCATAGCTTTAACATTTAGTCTAAATAGATTAAAAGTTAGGAACATAATAAGTATGATTTTTTTATCAGTTGGTATTGGCTTTGCATTAGCTTTCAGTAACTGTGAGTACTCTCAGATATGAACTGTGTCTTGTTGATGTGTGGATGTTTAAGGGAGTACCCAACCCCCTAAAAAATCTGTCGTTTATTTTTTATTGTTTTTCTCTAATGGCTAAACTATGCCTAGCTAAACATCTTTCAAATTTCAAAATATTTGAACCATAGGTTGAAAAGATTTGTCAACTCGAATATGACATTTTTTACATGGTAATATCGGCCAAATTTGGAAGTTTCAAAATATGGGGATAGGGTTTTATATGTTAATATTTTCAAAAATTAAATTGACATTATTATAGTTTATAGTGATAACTAAGGCGATTTTTAGTTCACCGATACCCTTCACTTGTAGGGTTTTAATACTGAATTTAAATTTTAGTCCGAAATAACAAGTGACGGTCTCAGATACAGCCCCAAAAGGTAACAAGTTTGAGCTTTCTAAAAAGCTATGGACTGCTTCGCTCTATCCTAATTTAAGGTAATATGTGTGCATGTGGTTGTTGAATTAGTATTGGAAATGTGGTATTTTTAGATATTGATTGATATAAAATAGCTGTACTTTAAGAGTGTGCGTTATACACCCAAGCTTGACATTTTTAAATTACTTGTTGAAAATTAAAACAATTATAAATATACACGACTCTTGAGGTGTGCCTCTCAGGAGTGGCCTAGTTTGACAGAAGTTATAAAATACAGATAATGCATTTTTGTAAACATTGTATAGGAACATTGTTTAGCAAAGCAAATCGTGCAAATTGCAGAGTAACAAAGAAAATAAACACGTATTAACAATTGATATTTCAATATTGAATGTATCTGTGAAATATATGCATAATAAAACGAACATGAATTGATGACAGTTGATCGGAACTGAAATACACATAGTTAATTTTCCGGCATTTGATGTCTTATCCTGGACGAGAAAAGTCTGTAATTCTTTATCTCATTTAAGCCAATAGATGTTGCTGTATCTCAGCCGCATCATAATGCAACCAATCAGAACCTATCATGTGATAAGTAATTAATTCAAGATGGCGTGTATTTCGACTGAAACGAATAGCTCCGCACCGTGATGCGAAGCAAATATGATGACCCTAGTATATGAAGAAGATTTTTTGTCTTTTTCTTTTTAAAGTGTTCCAAAAATTAACCGTTTGTAATGCTATATCAGTCTGTTATTCTTGCAAAAGCATAAAAATTTAACCATACTTTGTATTTCGAGCATACAACAATATAGACACATATTCTTACATATCAGCAAATTCCATTTATACGGAATACATAAAGTAAGTGTAGTTACATACAAAAAATCAAAAAAGACCTAATTTATATTGAAGCGAAGTCTACGTTCTGAACTACATATAATTTTTGCATGTAAAAGTACTCCAGATAATAAAATAAAAGAGGGAGTCACGGGTTTCGTTTTTGAGATACGAACTACAAAAATACAAAGGATACATAAAGAAATCTTACAAATAGGCAGGTATTTTACATTATCAAGATTCTCTATTTTTATGAACTACAGATTTTAACAAAACAATGTAAGATTAAAAAATGAACGACGAATCTATTGGTGCAAATAACCACGACTCCGGATAATATAAACTAGAGGATAGAGCTGACCGTGCAAGGTCCATATGTATAATCAAGTTCGTGTTGCTTAGTCTTTAGTTTTCTATGTTTTGTCATCTGTACTATTATTTGTCTGTTTATCTTTTTATTTTTAGCCATGGCGTTGTCAGTTTATTTTCAATCTATGAATTTGACTGTCCCTCTGGTATCTTTCGTCCCCTTTGTTAAACATAGAATTTGATCATGTTTCTGCAGAGGTTATGAAAATTAGATACAAATGGTTTTTAATTGAAAGCAAATCAGTCTTAATAATGCAAACAAAATGTAAGGATCTTTACTCATTTCACCTCTCATTCCACCATATATCAAACATATATTTCCATAGTATCTTTTAATTTTTTAAATGAATATACAGTATGTCCTAACATTTTCAAATGCATACAACAAAAAATGCAAGCGTTTTTCAACACACACAAATATACATGTTATATATACATTTTTCGTAACCTAAAAGTTTACACTGCCAAGTGTATTTTATTTAAAACTACGGTTTTCAAAATATGTTTGATGAAGTACTTGTCAATTCTGGTTTGATTTTAATCAATTTTGTACGAATAGAAGCAGAATTGTACTGGGTTTATTTATTTATTTGGTTATAATTTTTTATTGTTATGCGTGTTCACTTTATATACTTTATACTTTATTATACTACTTGTAAGGCCTAGACAGAAAAAAAATATATGCTCTTTTCGGTTTCTCTTCATTTGCCAATTTGAAAAACAAATCAGACCTTCTGGTTTTGTTTTGGAAATTAATTTTACTTTGAAATTTTCTTATTTTGTTTCTTTGATTATTTTGTACATAAATTATACTGTTCGTTTTCTTGTAAAGATATGACACTATCTACAAAGAAGTATTATATTTCGGACATCAGTTTTAGCAATGAGATAATAATTAAAATTCTTTCCCAATTATTTGTTATTAGAAAAATGAAGTCGAGTGTTTATATCGTATGAATCCTTGGCTTTCACTTTTGCATTTGTGAGTTCTTGGTAAAGGTAAACAAAAGAGAAAAGTTTCGGATGCACAAATTTAATGAAATGTTTCTTTGATCTAAAATGTATTTAAAAACAAAATTATTAGCAGGTTCACAAAATGTAAAAGATTCGGTAATCGATTGTTTCCGAATGCATATACATGTATATACGATTGAACAAAAAGTTTCACATGCACAGAATAAAATATTATTTCTTTCTTAACTGTCAATTGTAAAATCACTCGCAGATCATTCAAGAAAATAACTTGACCAGATTGGTAAATATATGAAAAGAAGTATTGCAATGTTAAAATATTATTACACAGCCTTACAATTCGTGTTAAGAATAATTACCCCTTTTGTCGATTATTATTTTAAAACTTCCCTCAAAAAGAAGATTATCTCCACTGGAACTCTCACATATTTCGATTCCCGAACCTATTATAAAGAATGCAAACTTTTATTGACATGATTTATAAACGTATATTTCCGTCATTGTGAGTAGATTCATGTATTGCGACATTTGTTTGAAATAAGTCATATAAAGGAATTTAGGGTCTTGGCGATATTCCATATCACCAATTTGATATATGCTGAGCCTGTAACAACTATCAGAATATGCATTTACGAAATTTGATAATTCATATAATGCAAATCTATTCTACATGAAGTCAATTCATTAGACTTATAAGATTAAAATATAGCTCTTTTAATATGTTATTACTTTTATCATAACATAAACATTCATATAGATAGATAAAATAATGTTAAACCAATATCTCAATCACACTTTCAGTATTCAATTCTCTGCACACAACATCAGCATGGTGTTCAATGTGACAGATCACTATTTGGAACGAGCATATTGATTTGCTTAAACGGCTAGTATACATATAAAGCATCAGCTGCTCAAACACGACGATGAAGCAAAAACAACGTTGTTTGTGTCTTTGCCTTGTACTGTTTTAAACCTTTACTGTTTAGTCAATATTGAGTTATTTACTTTTGGCGTGACTCAATACGTTTACATCCAGCCATGGTTTTGTTGTGTTATCACCAATTCTGTATTTTTATCGATCTTATTTGCTTCTGTACTTTGTATCTATTTGGGGTTTTTTCTTTGTTGGAATAGCTATTTGTTTTATAGTGAATAAAACTATATTGCAATGTTGACGGCTATACTCCAATTTTTTTACATTTGTACTTTTTGTGTCTGTTTTTTTTTTTTGCTCTCACCATGATGTCAATATAATGCAACTATCATACAAGTGAGATGTTGAGCTATAAAACCAGTTTTAATCAACCACTCTCTAAAAAAGAAAATTGTCTTTTCAAAGTCAGGAATGAAAATTGTTTTTCCATTCGATTGAATGGCTTGAGCTTTTTATTTTGCCATTTTTCTTGAGGAAGTAAGATTCTCTATTTTTTGTGTTGCTTGTCTTTCAATTTTAAGGGATGACTTAAGTATAGAAATATGTTCACCTTGAAATTAAAATTAGTTAGTTCTGAACATTCGTCTATCTGCAAACTTACTTATGGTCTAACTTCATGTAAAAAGCAATACAGATAAGAGGTGCATGTGCTTGTATTTAATAATGAATTATTTTGTTTTTAACAAAAGATATGTCCTTGGCTAGAAATGTATGTATATTTTCAATTAAACAAACATCCTTCATTTAAAATATTCTTGTAATATTCTGTAACATCATTGTTATTTCACTTTTTTCGTCATGTTCAAGATCCATAGCATTTGATACAATCTAAAGTTTTACAAAATGTTTGATGTTTTTCTATGGATGACCTTTTACTATTTCGATTTGATATACCGCTTTTGTTTTGTTTTTTCTGCGAACAATTCGGCGTTGATCCTCATTTGGTAATACTTATTTAATCAATCAGTAGCTAAATACAATGTATCAGTTATCACGGTTGGAAATACTATCTAAACACACAGTGTATAATTAAGGGTTCACCCAGTATACACAACACATATGTGATCTGGAAGCCTAAGGCAAGCAATATGAAGTAAACTTTACCTTTTGCGACAACACTGACTTGACTCTGCCGTGTTATCAGCTTTTCTGCTGCTGGCCAATCAATAATAAAAAGAGCATCAACAAATGCTCTGATAGCATCACCATACTTAAGGATTTTCACCAAAAGGGTTGTCATGCATATTTGTCTCCCATTTAAAATTTTCTCAGTTATAACAGTGCGTCGTTCAAGCAAAATATCCCGTATATCATCTATATCGATGTCATCCACAATTTTAGAAAATTGTAGCAATATGTTTGTTCTCAAGCATGAAGGGTCTGCAAAAATATAACACATCAATATAAACATATACACAAGTATGTATAATAGCACTCAATTTTTGAAACACCAATATTATTATAGCAAAATACAGTACTCTAAGCTTGCTTACAGAATTTGAAACTGCTAGCATTCTTTATTTTGGTATTGTTTATTGTTCACGATACCATGATTCTGTGTTGGTGTTATAGACTTTTCATTTTGTAGTTAAAATTACAATTTATATGTGATCAGTGAAATTTTTCAGAAAAGCACATAACCTTGCCAAAACAAAAATGGAAAACTGTTTTATGAATGACTAATATTAGGGCTTGATATTAGTCAGATAGATTTTTGTTTACTTTGAATTGTTCTCAAGGTAACATTGGATACTTAATAATGGAGCATAAATGTCACTTCACTGCTGGAACAAAGTGACCTGATAGATTGTTTTTAATTTATTTTATGAGATCCATATTCAAGATATTTTTCAGAGAGATTATCATTCTGTAAGCTGCATATTTTAATTTAAACCGTTTGAGAATTTTTCATTTTGTCAAGGTTTCTCGGCTCACTATATAGATAAATAAAAAAAATGTCAAAATTTGTCCTAGTGTCAGGGTCAACCATTTGGTATTCTTCGGAGGGCAAACATTTTTCTATGACAAATTATCTTTTTTAAAAATTGCAAAACTAATTAGTTATTGTAAACAATGTTGCATGAACCTTTATTTTTATAAAAAGGACTACTATTTCCTAAATGTGTGAGTGAGGTGACTTATATTCCAAAGTTGTTTTTCCCTAATACAGAAAGCTAGGGTTTGAAATACTTATTGTCATGTTACGAATATTAAGTATAACATCAACATGTACAAGCAATTATCGTTTTATATGAACTGGTATGAATATGGCGTGTTTAAAAAGGAGTCATTGCATATCTAAAGTACAACATCTAGTCACGTGTTCCCGACTACAAGAGACCGTTAATACAAGTACACTAAGTATAATGTGCGAATGTGGACGTTTATGTTTTAACCATCATTTCTCATCAGACTCAACACTCTATATGTCCCAGCATTATTGCAATGTACAAGTGCATGTATTAACAGTCTTTATAATAGAACGAATAACAATCTCCGCGACTTCATATGTACTGCAGAATTCTCAAAATGTCAGTCGACAAAAAAGTTTTCAAGCTTTTTCATACGGAAAGATAAGTCGGTAGTCTCCTTTGATCCTTTAGTTTAATGATGTGTTACCAAAATTGTAGTCATTGTTATCTGTTGTACATCATCTTTGTATTATATGTTCTACTTCCATGTTTCAAATTCCACGATATCTTGTTTTGATAGTTCATCTAAAGATAAAGGATGGCAATGCTGTCGGCAAAATGTAAATAAATTTGGTTGTCAATGTTTTTATAAAAAAAAGCTGTCAAAACTCTTGACTAAGCACATTACCAATCATAGTTAGTCGAATAATCCTGCTGTTTGATAGTATTTACTGTTTTTCTTTTCACTTCCAGAAATGCTCGATCTATTTGATTTCTTATGAACAATGATTTAGTTACATGTGTGTTGCTGTTTTATTGACATAAACACTAAAACACCCCTTTATTTTATACTGACACGGAATTCAGGTATTACTTACTGTTTATTCAGATCTAAAAAATAATTGCATGTTAAACTTTATTTTCGGATCTCTCTGTTAAATAACGAAACATCCGAGATCTTAATATCTTAGTATTTCCAAGGCTTCAGGTTGAATAAGGACATATGAAAATCGAAAATAAAGACATTGATTTGTTTAAAAAAATTACCAGTTGTATAAACTGTTTCATATGTTTCAAGACGCTGGAGTAAATAGTCAAATTCGTTCTCCTCGTTGTCTTTTATAAGAAGCAAAAACGTGTCTTCATGATGGTTTACCAAAATGTAATCTATAATTTGAGTTGCTTTCTCTCTGCGTCCCTTGGAAAATACAATTGATGGTATACTAATGTCGCGCTTTCTTAGGCCTTCGTGTATAGCGTCGGTGTCTATTTCTTCTATCAGGAAAGACCGGTTATCAGGCACAAACTTCTTTTCTGATAAATTTTCTGAAACTGAATAAAATATACAAAAGGTGTTATCTTGAGCGAAAATGTAAATGCACCATCTTTTTAACTTCACTAAGTTTATTCCAAAACATTTCTGTGTCATTCCTTTTTCACAATGCAAAAACATTCAACATTAAAACGTTCTACAAACTTATGAGAGGATAAAACACCTGTGGCAATTATATCCAGTATGCTCAACCTTAGTTTGATAAGGAAATTATTAACATGTATTGAAAAGACAGCCATTTGTATTAATTTGCACACGTTTTTACCAAAGTATCTAACAATAAAAAAAAAGGATTGTTTAGCTATTAGGCTGCCTTGTGGTTATGTAGATCGAAATAAACATATTGCAAGACATATATTAAAGGATATGAATGCACATTTAATTTTCAGATTATAACGTTATTGCTTCACAAGAATGACCGTCAGTACAAGACATGTTATAAATACGTTCGGATTTACACTATTACCAGACATTGAAGCACGTCTGATGCGAACTTTTTATCTGACGTCACCGTTGAGTAAAAATCTTCTATCCGCTGCACTAAACAACACAAATGTTTTGTGGCGTGAGCAAACTGAAATGTTTAAACGCACTCTCCTATCAAATACAGCATTAAGAAGTTAAAAAACTATATATAAGGTTAATTGTACTGATGTAATTCGTTTTTTTATTTGCTCTTTTTTCAGGATTATGAACAGGAGCGAAGGTCTTTTATCCGCATTGTAAAAGATATATAGAAAAAGACTTTTAGAGGTCAATAAAATAAAAATGAGACTTTCAATTTTAATAAATAAAACCAAATTAGAACAGAATCAGGCAGTTCATAGACACCTATCTCCTTTAAAAATATATTTTTTCCGGATTTGTTTAATCTATGGTCAACAGATCTAGATCAGTTTGATATTCAAAATTGGTAACTACCAAGGAGAAAGAGTTCAGGGCGTTGTTAGGACCGTCCTTTCTTTTCTTGTCATCACCATGGAATAACGCTTAGAATTAAGTCAGATATTGAAACAAATGATATTAAATTCTGTATTGGTTTTGTTTCGATATGAACTGATGTCTCTTATTAATAGATTTTTATTTCATATATAATGCAAATGGAAGTTGTAAAGAAAGGTATTTGCTAGCACGATTTGAAGCCATTTTGTTCTTATTCAACAACAACAAATTGCACTTTCTACTGTAAACAGTGTACTTCACTAGTCCAGCATTCCAGTGAAGAGTCCCCGTTTGTTAATACCAGAAATCCAGGGCTGTATTCTGGTAACCATCATTATATTAAATTAACATTAGTTTTAATTTAACAGCTTAATTATCAAATTATCAGCAATGAAATAAACAAGTATATATCAATGAGAATTATTTGTTTAACAACTTACTATATATATCATCTAGCAATAATTGATTTTTGAATATTGTTTCCGGGAATTTTTCATATTTCCTCCGTAAAAATGTAATTGTATTTTCTATCAAATATCTTCCTTTTGAAACGAAATTGTCAAACCGGTCATGACTTTTAAAATAAATGAAACAGATGTGATATAGCATATTCACAGGTTTGTCTGAATCAACAATTATCTGTTGTACAAAGAGGATTAGGATTTAATAATTATTTCATTTTTTAATCTTCTTTTTGTAACGGTAAATAGTTCCGGAAGCCATGTTAACAGCACATGAGTGACCATTTTTTTCCGACTAAAATGTCCTGTACCAAGTCAGGGAAATGGCCATTGTTATATTATAGTTCGTTTCTGTGTGTGTTACATTTTAATGTTGTGTTTTTGTTGTGTCGTTGTTCTCCTCTTATATTTGATGCGTTTCCCTCAGTTTTAGTTTGTAACCCGGATTTGTTTTTATCTCTATCGATTTATGAGTTTCGAACAGCGGTATACTACTGTTGCCTTTATTTAACATAAATTGCCTGCATTTATTTTTGTGTGTACGTATTACTTGTTTTTCCTCCGATTGATTTGATGGCATAGTTTCGTGCAAATAAATTGACAATTAGAGCCGTGTGATGGTTTCTAAGAGGTTTGCGTTATCGTATTTGGCATTTGAATGAATAGGTTCACATTTAGATGAAGGTGCTTTCTTTGGTTTCGTGTCTTGATAGACGAAATACTTCTTAGTTTAATTGTTAGTGTTCATTGGTGAAAAGTAAAATAACAAAAATATCAAACTCCGAAGAATATTCAAAACTCGTATTTCTCGAGTCTCGTTTTATTTCCAAAGGTGGCTAACCGTGTATTTCCTGGTATTTGCTTTAGTCTGTTTAAACAGTGAGCCAACCTTGGATTTGTTTTAACTCTTGTGTCTTTCTTGTATAACTTTTCATAAAAACATTTGGATGCCCCAGTCGTGCACATGTTACACTTTTTACTGTTCTTGAGCTATTGTTGCTGATACAGATTTGGCCGCTGTTTGCAATTTGGGTGTGATTTTTTTGCTGTCACTGGTATTGAGTTAATATGAGATAACAGGGCTGCTGTTTTGCTAAAGTTGAAGATGATTGATGATTAAGAATGAAACAATGATGATCAAATGAATGCATGTTGAGAAAGACTGAATTATAATGATTCAAAGAATTTGTGTAAAGTGATCAACCAGAATAAACAAGGGCAACAGTAGTATACCGCTGTTCGAAATTCATCAATCGATTTAGAAAAAAACAAATCCGGGCTACAAACTAAAACTGAGGGAAACACATAAAAAATAAGAGAACTACGACACAACAGAAACACAACACTAAAATGTATCACACACAGAAACGAACTATAATATAACAATGGCCATTTTCCTGACTTGGTACAGGACATTTTAAGAAAAAAACGATGGGTTGAACCTGGTTTTGTGGCTAGCCAAACCTTCCGCTTTTATGGCAATGTTAAATATAACATTAAAATGACAACATTACATGATAGGACTACAATATAAATAAATGGGAGAACATAAAGGACAGAGACACACACGAATAATAGCTATCAAAAGGTACCAGGTTTATAATTTAATACGCCAGACGCGCGTTTCGTCTACACAAGACTAACCACTGACGCTCAGATAAAAAAAGTTCGAAAGCCAAAACAAGTACAAAGCCGAAGAGCATTGAGGACCAAAAGTTCCAAAAGGTTGTGCCTAATACAGCTTAGGTTTTCTGCCTGTGATAAGAACATCCTTATTATTTAGAATAATTTATACTTTTGCAAACAATAAATTTATAAAAATGACTATATAATAGATTAAAAGATTGCCTTTAGTACAAATTCGTACGTCCTTTTCGATCCGAAAAAAATAATAGTCCTATAAGACTTTGCAGAAATCATTTCTTGCATGTTTTGTTATAAGTAATAATAATAAGAAATTTAATGGAAGAACTCACACATTTAAAATGTGCACGCACCGCAGACAATTGGCAGTGGCAATGAAACCAGTTGAGTGAACAGAAATTAAAGATAATTTTTAGACTAACTAAGTAAGGTGTCCAGTGTTAAAAAGGTTCTCTAGTTAACAAGTTTAATTTAACGGATATCACACGGCTAATTTGTAGGAAAATTATAGGAAAGGTATAATATGTTACAAGCATGATTGTCGTCATTAGCTCCCCTGGTCACGATTTTCTAAATTTCTGTTTCACATGCTACCCCATTATACCGTATTAAACGGGAAATTTTTAATATGAAATTATTACGGTCTTTGTTAGTGGTTAACATAATATTTATAAGAAAATTGATACATTCAATGTATGTTAAATAACAAAAAAGTATTTTAGTGATTTTAATATTATTATTTCAGCATTTTAGGAAGCAATACACAGTTAGAAGGGATTAAAATTCTACCTCTAACCAAAATTTTAACATCTTCACCACATTTTTGGCATTGATCAAAGACGGATTATCGCGTGACATTAATAATTTTGTTTCTTATAATACAATGTATAAGGTCATTATCAAGGTCAGTGGTCACTCAATACATTTCTTATTTTTGTTTGTAGTGTGTTTGATTTATTTTTGAATAGCCAGCTAACTTTGTAAATTGTTTTTTTTTCGGAGGAATATGTTTTGTGTCTGTTTTTCAATACTTTAAATTTTATATTGAATAGATATTTCTTTTATGATTGCAGTATAAGAATCAAATCCGTCGGGTTCGTGTTACACCCGGAATATGGTACACCAGGTCTATGTAATAGTCGTTCATGATATTTCGATCTAAATCCCCCTCGGTTTGAACGACAACAAAAATGTTTCACCGTTCACCATCAGACACAACTGCAATAAATTCATAGCTTGATTGGCAATAGGTTTGTCCATGCAAACCACTAAGGTCAATGACCATTATGTGTCAAGCAGCAGGATATTTTTTTCCGGATTCACTATTTTTTGTCAACTGTTGCTATGCATGTATATTTCTGTCTGCGGTTTTGCTGCTCGAAAACATATTTTCACTTTTGTACACATTTATATCCTCAACTATACTGCATTTCATGTTGAAGATCATTCATTTTCATCCGGACTTGTGCAAAGGCATTTGTTTACAGTTCATATAAGGCCAAGTAATTGATTTTCAAAATCCTCATCCCTCCTTTCGAAATGAAATGGTCGTCCTCTTACAGAAATTTAACGAAAGGACGACATCAATTCATAGTCTGAGAAAATTAGGGTCATTAACATTATTACCGTAAAAGAACTAGGATTCTACTGGTTCAACATGTTTATCTAACCGATTGAATTATGTCGCAATTCGTTGAGAAAAGGATAAAACATTCTTTATATGTTAGTCAAAAGTCAGGATGAAGCCAGCTTTAAGGGGTTGTCGTTTGTTCATGCCTGTGAAGTTTTTTAATTTTGTATTTGTAAATTGATTTGTTATAAATTAGGCCGTTAGTTTGATTAATTTTTTCATATCTGGTACTTTTCTCATAATTGAAGGCCGAACGGTTGCCTATAGGGGGCACGATAGTATTTCCTGGCCCATAAGGGATAATGATAGCCTTTTTAGAATT